AGTATGATTGTAGATCGTTTTAAATGTTCTGACTATTGTAGATTTGAATATCTTCTAGACAGTCTAATCCACTGGAGTGGTGGTTTTAGACCTTCTAATTTAGAAGCAGGTTGTTTGAGAGTAGTAATAAATCTACGGGCTTCAAACTTATCTGAAAGTGATTATAGAAACAGGCGTCCACCATTTTAGCGAATAAATTTCACAAAATTCCGCAAAGCGGAGGAGAATTAATCGTCGGAGGGAAAGAGTAACCGACGTGTTAATGTCTTGTAGAAGGAGGAGGAGGAACAGGAAGGGGGATTAGCGTCGTGGGATTAGGAGGCGTCGGAGGCAGGGATTGTCTCAGTAATCTGGGGATAATGAGAGCGCAGCCTCTCCTCTCGGTGGCGGTAATTGCATGCAACGAGATTGCTGCTATTGTTGTTTGAATAACTGGTAAAACTGCAAACGCCCGTCAGGATGGAGACGCAACAAGTGGAAGCGATTCCGAAAACGCAATTCCAAATTAATTTTCCTCCAAAGTTTACTTTGCATTTAAGCGAAATTACGAGGACGAACCACCACTACTGACTGCTGCTGCTGCTCCTTTCGCTCTTCCACCTTCAAACGTTTAGAGGCCACCAGATTGCATTTATTAGCATCAACTCCTCATTCCATCTCAAACGTAATTCCTCTTACCACATCAACTCCGCTCGTTCCATCATTTTACAGTTACGAAATTAATTAAACCATTGTTGGTACGCGCACCATCAATTATTATCTTAATTCTATTCTGTATGTTTGCGTGTTTGCGTTCACAATGGACGTTTGCAAAGAGTGTTGCTTCTTTTGTGGAGGCTTCGCGAGATTGTTCAAGTTATTGCTGGAGTCCCGTTAAATGGCGCTTACAATTTTTCCCCCGATTTGTTCGGGATGTACGGAGAATATGCAATGCGCGATATTTTCACTGTTATGGTAATGGTTTGGCATGGAATAAACATGAACTCGGTGTATGTTGAATACATAGTGTCTTAACGTTTCACTTACTGCTGCATTTCCATTCAGTTTCATGATGTTGCGACACGCTCGACGTCTCTATTTTCTTGTTCCGCAATAAACTGACGTTTATTTCGTTCTTGTAATTACTTTCTTTATATTCTAAAAAAAACACTTCAACAGTTGAAATGACCAACACATCTTTATAAATCTTCAAACAAGTTTTTCACAATAATCTAAAAACGAATACGTTTTAAAATGACATTTAGAATTACTATTAACAAATGCACATACATATAATATGTTTTTAATACTGTATACAGAATGAAACACTCATAATTTAACTTATTGATGCAATATTAATGTTTCTTTGTAACAAGACATTTTATATGAAAAATTATATATAACCATTTATTTAGTTTGTAAAATACTGTTGATATTTTCATCTGTGCTAAACACAAGTAAATTGTAATAGATAATGTACAGCAATATCTCGCACAACACAATTTTTTTATCAAATCGGACTAATTGAGAAACTGAATATATACAACCACAAACCACACAAAACAGACTAAACTGATAATGATCATTTGTGCATACAAAAAAAATGTGTACTAATTATTCAAAATTGATTGTAATTTTATTCAATAAAATTTATGTTTGTTTTGATATGTTTCAATGGACTATAGTAAATCCGGACTGATATAATTAGGTAAATGTTGGACTTTCAATTTGTGCTTCTTTTAGTAAATTTTCTTAGATTTTATAGATTATCATTAATAATAATACTAATATTTGTAATAATATAGACGACAAAGTACAAACACATTAAAAGAACGTTTGCAATGGGTCAACTCTTTCCGCCCAATTCCCATTATTTGCTGAACTTAATGGCTATAGTTATTAGGCAGTTACATAATAAACAAGGAAGCATCCCAGATCCCGGATGTTCTCAGGCGGTTGTACTTTGAAAAACCTTTAAACCGTATGCAAAAAAAAAAGAGAACGATGAGTCCGTGTCCCATCTGTCCGGAATAGTTGGAAGCTCCGTAGATAATGGATCTGATTGTTTTTTTTTCGCCGGTACTCCTCTCTGGTTCACCCATTGTAGACGGACGGCTGCACTAATTTATTTCTCTGTTACAACAAAGAGAGGAGAAGGAAACAGTGGGCAAAAAATAAAATAAATATATGCATGTGCATATTTAATTTCGGGGGTATTATTTTCAGCGGAAAACCAGTTACGAGACCATTCTCTCTAACAATCATAGTTTTTTTTCCTCCGCACTACCATTAATGCATTCAGTGGGGTTCAGGTCAGGAACCGCTATAGTTTTTTTTTTCATTTGGGTCTCCTATGCATAAAGTACCGAAGGGATGGATGGTCCACGTCACTTTCCCATCATCTGCGAAAAGGACAAAAAAATACACTCACACATCAAAATGCGTGCCCAACCTTCAACCCCGATATGCAGATTCATTACGCGAACGTGGATGTAAGCGATACCCGACTGGGCCCGGTCGCATATGCAAATCGGAGGAGAGAGAGCCCATTACGCAACCCGTCCGCATATCGGCGACAGCTGTAATATCTTAAGATCGGCTCTCCGGTTCTTGTTTTCTTCGCTCGCTTTCGGATTCATATTCAAATGCATTCGCAATTTAAATACGCGTACGTGTTCGAAGGGATGGATTACAAATTTTCCCCCGCTGCTCGCCGTTCTCTTAATTCAATTTGCCATTATAAATATGGAAGACTTTCGGCACACACCGTCTCTTTTTTTTGTGTTCACTTGGCTTCATTCTTGTGCTTCGCAGATTTGGCCACCCCGAAATCAATTTCACCTTAAAACTCAGACGCGCCACCTGTCCCTCTCTCTCTCATACTGCTTCTCTCCTCGCGTTGCATAATAATCAATTGAGCTCATCGGAAACGATTTCTGATGCAAAAATGAGTGGCCCTCTCCATCCATCCGATTAAAGTACTTCCAGGAAATAAAGCGAATACCAAGAAAACATCTAATGTTATTTTCGTCGTATTTTAATTTCTTAAAGAAGACCACACACGATCAGTTTAAATATAATAAGTAAAGAAATAAAACCTTTACATGCAACAAGAATCTAAATTATTATTTTGTTATCCCTATTTAATTAGGCTTTTTAAGACGTTTGTAGAATATGAATGATTGTAATAGAAAAATGGTCTCCCTTTCAATAATTTTAGCAATATAAGGTACAAAACACTTAAATAAATATAAAAACTTATCTGACTATTAGCGCAAAATATATTTAAAACGTAAATGCTATAATCATTCAATGTTCTAAATTTCTATAAAGTACGAAAAGAGATCTTTTTTTTATAAATTGTAACAGAAAAAATATTCAAAGTATTCTATTATATTTTTTTCTCTAATCATAAGACAGATTCTAATAGAAACATGATATTTAATATATAGAAAAAAAAAATGAATCATATTAAGTAATAGAAGAACATATTCTAATACTACTGAAGAAATGTCAAATTGTCATGAAACAAACTAAATATGTTTTCAAAATTTAATGAAGAATATGCTTATAAAACACGAATTGATTAATAAATACATTACTGATGTATAAAAGAATAGACTATTATTATATGATTTCTTATTATACTTAAATCTTAATAATGGTTGGGGTTTTCGTAAATAATACATATTTAAATAATTATTGAATAGATCGAAATGATTAAGTATAATTTGCTTCTTTGTAATTCAATTCAGTAGTTGTATTATTTCTTATTGTATTCACAATATTAGGAAACAGTAGTGTGTTTTCAAATAAAACATATTTGCATAATCATAAATAAAAGATGGTCCGTCGTTTTTGATTGGGACCTAATTGGAGGTTTATCCAATCCAAGATCGGAATACGTCCACGATCAGAGTGCTTTTGGTATTCTCGTTGCGAGGCCGAGGAAAACCAGATCTGGTATTTAGAAGAATTTTCGCGTCGTTGAATAATGCAGCAGGAGCATTCGTTTGTTGGCCAGGTTCGTTCGATTGGGTCTGTGAGACAATCGGCCTTTAATTAAAACGTTTCGGAAATCTGCAGGAAAACAGGAACGATCATAATGTATAATTCATGCGGATGCGGGGCACGCCTATTTTCGGGGTGCCTGAAAGTATTTCAGTCGCGATGCGTTCGCATTCAATGTTAATGTATTCATAGAATGCGCCTTTTTGAACAATGCAATAATTTCACGTCTGCAATTTATGTATGCATGCGTGTGCATTTGAGAGAGACAAAAGAGAAAGAAAGAAAGAATGAATGAGAGAGATGGTTTGTTGAGAATCGGTTGAATCGTGAGGGGGGTTTAATGTAATTATAACTTGCGCGATTTTCTACCTGCGATCTCACAAACAATACAACTAAAAACTTATATAATGTATTATTTTTTTTATAACAGTTCATCAAGGGGACCAAATGAGATGAATGCATGGATCCGGGAGGCCTCGGGTCCTCATTCTCTTTGGCCTGCCTCCCCATTATGCATGTAACAAAACGGCCTTGTTAAATAGGCAAATGAGGCAGTGTATATGCGCTTCCGGGACACACTAAATCCTGATGAACGGCACCAAGGAGAGGCGGAGAGGAGAGAGCGAAAAAATATAGAATAAGCGCGCAGAAGAAGAAAAAAAAAGTTAAATAATACCGGAGAGGTGGAAAGGGTTTGGGCATTATTACATAATGGGACCAGCCGGGCAACGTTGTGTGAGCACGCATATATTAGACGATGGTATGCAAATGGGGGGCCCCAATGTCTTGCACTACAGGATATGGGGATATACATATGCAGATGAAAAAGTAAAGCGCGCCCAGAGCGACATTTAGGACTACTACCGGTTGTCCTGGAGAACAAAAACGAAACAGCAACGACGAAATAAAAAAAAGAGGAAGCATTATACGTGAATACCTGATGATGATGAAGATGATGACGGGGGACCGCCGGGGAAAAAAAGGGTTTTTAGTTCAGTGTGTGTCGCGGATCGGAACGCGTCGCGTTTTCTACCTCCTCCTGTTCCTATTCCAGTCATATCTTTTGTTGTTTTTTTATTGTTGTTGTTAATGTTTTCTGTTGTTCTTCGCGCGAGTGCTTCTCGTTGTGCGTACGTGAGGATATCAGCTGGACTCTGGTCATCGTCCACCACCTGGACAACGCCAACCCATATCGATTATCTACCGGCGATTTCCTGTATGTAAATCGATGCGGACCTAACGATGTTTTAATTATAAGCGCCTAGGTAGGTGATTGATGATACCTGCCACCACCGACTCCGTTCAACTACCCTGCGAACAGAAATTGCTCGCCTTTCTACCCCAAACCACAACACGATTAATTAAGACCTTGATTATACCATGATGCCTAGTCCAGAATGAAAATGAAAGAATTACAATATTCACATGTCAATTCTGAACCATTAACACACTTATATTTGTTCAAACCAGCTACGCCATCTACATCATTCCAAATTTACTCAACCCGTCTGTCAAATTTCTTCAATTATATTAAGTTACAATTATTTGTGGTTATGTCACCGAATTTAAATTTAGACATTAACGTTTACATAATTATTTTATCAAATTGTTTTATTGTTCCAAATTCTTCAAATCACTCTAATTAATTTTAAATTAAACATTAAAATCTTCTCAAATTTACTTAACCAATTTCTTTTTTTAATTACATAATGTTACATTTTGTATAATAGCTACACCATTTGAACATTGACGTTTACATAATTTTTCTATTAACTTGTATTATTGTTCCAAATTAATGAAATCACTGTATTTTTTTAAATATTAACATTATAAATTTACTAACTAATTCATTTATTCAATTACATTATAAAGTAGACATAAAACCTTTATTTTATTGTGCATATGAAAATATCTATGTATTTCGGCAATAACAGAAACTAAGTAAGCTTAGTTTATGAAAGTTGACGTTTATTCAACATTTTCTATAAACTTATTTTATTGTTTCAAATTATTAAAACCACTGAAATTTTATTTAAATAAGGCAATAAAATCATTCCGAATTTATTTTTTTTTTGTCTTTTTGTATCATTTAGTTAATTTGACACGTGTCAATTTTGAATTAAATTCAATATTTGTAATTATTAATATAATCAATAATTATTGTTTATAAAATATAAAAAAGAAACATTTAATATTATTAATATATTGAGTTATGATCTAATAAATATGCATTATGTAAGATACGTGTTAGTAATTATATACATCATTATATTGAATATAACATTAAATAAATATTTATTGATATCAAAAACTTGTCAGACCAAGTTTATGAATTTCTAATTAAAGTTCATTTCGCATAATTTTATAAGTAGACGTTAATAAAAAAGTCAACTAAATAATATATAATTATTATATAATAATAAGTAAATATATTAGATAATATATTTAAATACATAATGTAAAATTTGACCTTATTAAACCAGTTTGGAATATATTTATGGTTATATAACTCGAAAAAGTTGTACAACTAAAATTGTTATATAATAAAAACTGCAAATGAGTCCAATTAAGTACCTTAGTATAATAGTTTAAAATATACCATAAAATAATGTGATATTAATTATAATGCAAAAACATTTCGTTTATATTTAATTGTGTATTCAATCTTCTATTAATACTTTGATTCATTTGCAAATTATATAAACTGATACTTCTGAGTTTTCCAAATGCAAAACAAAAAAGTTTCTTAATATCTTCTTGGCTATAAATATATGGATCTAAATGATGTAGTTATATGTTTATGTCAGCAAATGTATTAATTCCATGAAGTATATAGATTATATCATTAGTACAAAACACGAATGTTCGCATTTTCACCTAATATAAATGGTGAACATAAGAAATAATGCAAGATAAACACACAATTAGAGAAAAACAAGGAGCAATGAAATGAAAATAAAATGAATAAGAAGAAGATGAGGATCGTGCGAACCGCACGAACGGCGGCACCTGAGATAACTGAGCATTTCTTAATTGAATTCGCGTATTAATCATTTATTTGAATAATACCGGATTATGCGCGAATTTTATTTATGGGCCGGCCCGGGCCGCTACGTTTTGCATAATATTATTGGAAAATCATTAAATCATGGCCCAAAGTTTAATTAGTGGCTCTCGTGCCAAATAAATTACCCTCGCTCGGCCCCGGGGACGCCGCGCTTTTCCCCATTCATAAATCAATTCCGCAACTTTACAAACACAATTTTTGTTGTTACTTTTTTTTCGGTTTTTGTTGCTTTTTTTTATTTGTATACATTATTTTATAACGATCCACCGCTGTCCAATATGTAACAGCAATAATAAATCATTGCTTATAGGTGTAATTTTATTACTTTCCAAATAATATGTTTTATTACATTTATATACTAAAAAGTGATGTAACGTTAAAATAACATTAAGTAAATTTATTGTAAGGATTATTATCTAGGACAGGGTTTTCCCAAACATAGGAGCTCCGTGAAAAACTGGAATGATATAATTACTAAATAAATATTGAATGTTTTTTTCACATTTTCTAAAATTTCATTGATTGCGCTATTGATTGGGTTATTACCTACCCCACAAAATAAATAAGGTGTTCAGTAAAAATTCCAGGATTTACTCATGATTGTTCTCATGCAAGAAAAATTTGTGAAACCTTGATCTAACAGATGGGCAAATATATATAAACTTAAATATTTTTATTTTTTTTCCTGAAAATGATTGTTTTTTAATAATTTTGGAAACTTTTACATAATTTATTTTGCAAATCATTTAAATAAAATACTATTAAGTAAAAGAAAAACATAATTTTTGTGCATTTTTTATATATACGAATAAATACGAATTGATTATATAATCAATATAAAATATTGCAAGAAAAATGAACATTTTAATTATTGATAATGCTAAGTTCTTAAATAAATAATAATTTTTGATTGTATAAACTTGTAAGAAACAACCTAAATGTGAAAAGTAAACATAATAAAGACAAAAAAATGATAACAGATCAAAACAAAGTAATTATTCTTATTAGTGTTTAAATTTTTAATTTGATTTAAATTTTGATTTTAAAACAAGTATAAATGGTTTTAAATGCTCAAGAATTCCACGTTTTTAAATATTCTATGTAAAGTCTGCATATACTTTAAAATAGTAATTTCGAATTGATTTTCAATATTTGACAAGTGTTCATTCTAAAATAAGTAAAATAGTTTTAGCAGCTTGAAAATACCAATATTTTTTTGTACATTTTTTGAAATAATAATGTATAAAAATATGATAGATTTGACAAATTGTTGGAAATGTTAAATCAAGGTGAAGTAATTCAAAATCTTAATACAAATTAAATTTTAGATTTTGAATTTGATTTGAATTAATTGTTGAATTAATAATTTGAAAAAAAAATACTTTAATGGAAATGAAAGCAGGTCAAAATTAAATTAATTAATCTGATTATTGATTCGAGTATCATTAGTTAAAATAGTTTAAAATAAATTAATGTGGTATTTAGTTGAGAACAAACGGTGTTTCCGTCTGGTTTTGCATTATCAGCAATGAATTGCGTAATGAACGAAATGCCTGCATGCATGCATTTAGTAATCAATTAGCAAACTGGAAAATAAAGCGAAAATAATTAGAATGTGGCGGCGCGCATTGAAGCGAAATCTAAATACGTCCAATTAATTGCGGAATGTCCTCGATGATTAGGGACACGAAGCAGCGACGTCTAATTAGCAATCGTTATACAAGACCAGAAAACTATCGATTTACATAAAACCGATATTAATTTAAAGAGGGACGACGCGTGTTTCTGTGCATGAGCAAGAGAAATGGATCGAGAGAGAGAGAAGAAAAAAAGTACGTACTAAGGATGATGATGAAGAATAAGAAGAAGGAGAGGAAAGAAGAAAAGACGTCCCATCAATCCTGATTAACGGCCATCAGGCGGAGGACGGGCGTCTAACTTGCGACCATTTTTCATCCCGTCACGAGCATAATATATCCCACGCTTAAGACCGCAAGCTTTTTGCTGGGGGAGGTTCTGAGAGGGAGTATGAAACGAGGAGGACGAAAAAAAATGGTAACAGAGTGAGACGCATCCAGAAAAAATGATATGGCGAAACCATGATATAATAATAATCCCGAGGCCGCTTTAATAAAGACGTAAATACGTAATATTATATTATTCTTCGTTGTCGGTTCAGGTTCACATGACGTGGATCGTAATAATAACAAAACGTCGGAGATGATGCGAACCGTCAGATGACGCGCGCGCGGATTCGGAAAAGATTATTATTTTTCATCAGCCCAAAAAGGAAAAGGAGGAGAAGGACACATCTCTGTGCGTGTGCACGAGATGATGGAATAGTAGAAGGACGAGTTTGAGGGATATTATTAAAGGCAGACGGAGAAATTGGGGGTGCTCCCCTTCGTCGATCCTCTTCGTAGGAACGAGACGACTGCGAGAAGAAAAGAAGGAATAAATATATAACGAAAACGCAATATCCCAGCACATATACACGGGTCCCCGAAAACATACCGGGTCGTCCGTGAAGCGTACCAAATAAATAAATAATTAAAAAATAAATAACAACCATCGAGGATGCCTCGCTTTTGAGCGCCTCGGAAATATCCAATATCACGTTATTATTCTACCGGAAGAGATTGAGAGAGTTCCAAGAACATCATAATAAGAAACAATGCGGCAGGAGGCACATAATGGTAGTCATGTCGATGGATATGATCACGATGATCCTAATAGGAAGAAAATGCAATGTCTGGTATATCTTTACCGAATTTTAATTATCGAAATTCGAGATTTATTCCGATCTTTTTAGTCCTGAAAAAATATAATTTTAAAAGCTAGAAGAAGATAGAACCATTTCATATCATTATTTCACACCTGCAATATAATTATTTTTTAATTATGTCTACATCAAATAATTGCAAATGCAATTTTACAAATGTTAATTCATTTAAAAAAAATCAGTATAGACACACTACAATAACCACATTGTTGTATAAAATACCTGTCTGTTTATTAAGTATACAAAAAGAATGAGAAGATTTTTTTTAAATATAATTTATAGCAGTGATCGCGATCTAACTGATCTATTGAAATGAACTTTTTGGTTTCATTTAACTAGTGTTTTAGGATTGACCGGTCGTTGTTCT